AAAATCATGGAAAAGCACACACAAAAATATTTAAGCTAAATAAAATGGAAATTTGGGAAATTTGAGATATTTGCCAAAAATATTTATCAACTAATGACAAATTGTATGGACAAACGTTATTTGCGAAATTTTTCCCCAAATATTACTTGGGAAATCTATGGCCAAATTTTTCCCCAAATATTTATAAGTGTGCCCTATAAATACTCATTAAAAAATAAGCTAAACTAACGAGTTCCCTCCAATAACTTTTTACTTGAATTTCAGAAAATAAGAGTACTACCATATTTTTGGCTAAAATAATAAGCTCCCCCCATATTTTCTATTTGGGATAATACATATATTTAACCTTAAACTTGGCTTCAAATTTTAACTTTGACCTCCAACTTTCATAGTGCACAAACAAGCACTTTAACTATCCAATCTTTTAATAAAATAAACACGCGATTTTTGGAGCCAAGAGCGTGAAATGCAAATGCTGCCACGTGTATTAGCGAGCCACTCAATGGCTGCCAACTAATTAAACACTTTACACGTCCATTTTAGAACTAAAAAAAATGAAAATTAATTAAGGGTAAAGTTGTCATTTCAGCATTTTTTTCACTGTTGTGTGACCTCAAAAAATTACTTCTCACTCGCGCAAAATGCGTGTCACATCACGCGTTTTGCCAGGTAAGACACGCGTGTTTATTTATTAAAAGGTTGGATAGTTAAAGTGTCTATTTGTGCACTTTGAAAGTTGGAGGTCAAAGTTAAAATTTGAAGCCAAGTTTAAGGTCCAATATATGTATTATGCCTTTCTATTTCCCCCAATTTCTAAAAAAACAAAAGCCCTAAATTTCATTCAAAGGTTTCTTCTCAATCAGTTTAGCTAAGTCGCTTATTCTCAATTCTCCATTCTTATGCGCTTATCTAATTTATGACTTGAAAATTTCATCCATGGTAACCTTAAGTCTCCTTGTTTGGTGGAAAAAAGTATTGGGACTTTTGATGTTTTTGGGAAATGGAGATAAAACAAGGTTTCTTCTCAGCCTTTGAGGAAGGGGTGGTGCGGGTTATCGTCAGGTAGGTCAGGAGCGATGACTCCGCCGAGAAGTGGGTCACCCATCACCTCTTTGCTTCGGAGGAAGAACATCTGGCTTCATTGACTCTGTTTCAGGTAGGGTACTTTCGATATTTCTCACAAATTTGGGAAATTTCTGAAAGTTTTTCTCCTTCACAACCTTTTCTGATAATATGTGTGTGAAAGAGGAGTTGTCATCTTTTCCCTGCTATTTGTAGTGAGATCACGTAGTTTGGAATGTTTGGAGTCAAAATTGTGCAAAGGGATGGAAAGTCCGTATAACATAGTCCAAATATTCAAGAAGCAAGTAGAGGAATTGTAAATAAACACTAACCTTGGAGTCACAGTTTTTGTTTAAGGCTTGGAGGTTTTCTTCAATTTTCTCTAAAATGATCTGCAAGATATCGGAAGTACAAGTTTCTTTACGATCATGATTATCAAATACATGTTTTTCATTTTCCATATATGGGAAGCCACAACTTCTCCATTTCCATGCTCCATCGTCCAAGAACCTTAGATACACTTTTCCATCTGAACCTATTAAGAACAGATGAGCTCCTGTGAAGCATGGTCCCGGTGAACCAACAAGAATGACACTTGGATCTGGTGTTCTGTGTTCTATCCAATTCCATCCGTTGGACGGATTCCAATTATATTCAACTAGTCCACCATCTGCCGAAAGCATGAAACGAGAACCTTGCAGTGACAATGAAGATAACCTCATTGCAGTTCCTGGAGATCTTGATAGAATCAAATGTTGAGATTGGTAATGCTCATGCCATAGTTCAGTAACTTTGTTATACTGGTATAAGCGTCCGTTCCTTCCAATGACAAACACCACGTTCTCTCGGAGCAGTTCCTGGTCAGCAATGCTTGCAATCTTCGTACTGGCTGGATACCGACAATCCTTCCATTTGAACTTTCTCAGTGCAACCTAAGAAACAAGTTATGACACTTTAGCCTTCATTTTATCAATATTCAGACTGGAAGCTTAGAAATTTCAGGATATATATGCTTAGTGCCACTCATTTTAGCCTTCATTTTATTAGGCTGAAAGCATTCTTCGTATAGTCACCTTTTGAACCTCTAAACTAGAAAAGTGGACATAGTATATGTTTCCATTTATGGTTACCTTTTGATCCACTTCATTGCCTTGTAACTTTACAGGAAGCTGGCGTGGACGGGATCATTCATCTTTATACTGATGAGCTAATGCATCCAGCTGGAAGCCTGGAACTAGTGAGTATTCTTTATGGAGACTTTTGGCAGATATACCTGAAGATGTTGACATGGTCATATTTCCTAACTATGTAAGTCATTGAGATTGCTCTAGGTTGTCTTCTAACTCTGTCTAAGCATGTAATTACATGCACGAATAGTCAAAAAGCATGCATTTGCTTAGTTTTCATATTCTGCTGTCTTTTTTCTTGTTAATATCTTCTCTGATGATGACAAATATTTCAGGAGAGCAGTGTTGAGAGAGATGATGTGAAAGAACCTTTTAGTGAAGTAAGATATCTTTTCACTGTATTCCTTTTCTTATCTTTCAAGTTCTAGTGTTAAATTCAATCGTTTGGCTAGGAATAGGTTTAGATTTTCTTGAAATAAATTTGGATAATTATATTACCCAATACTTGAGAATGGAGTAACACCAGTCATCTCTTTCTAGATGAATGAAAAAGAAGGTTGAGTTGGAGTTAGACACTATGGAGGCAAGAAAGTAAAATTGTACCTTGCAAATATAAGTAGCTTGAGTGTTAGACCTTACTCTTTGTTTGTAGCAGCCAGAATTTCTTCGAGAAAGTTTGCGTAGTCTGTAATTTGTTTTAATTATGCAACTAAAGTTCTTTTAGACTGTTTACCAATAATACATCTATATCATGTGGTAGGTCTCGATGTTCAAGAAGAATTATGACCATCTCACAAAAGAAATGTACTTTGGAAACTACAAGGAAGCAACTCGTGGTAATCCTAACTACTTTTTTGACTTACGAAAATGGAAAATCAGCTGCTCGAGTTCAAGATCATCTTCGTCCTAATGGTGCTCATAGATGGCACAACTACATGAAAAGCCCAAAGTATGCTTGTTCTGCATGTTACTTGTTTTTCTTATATCTCTATTTCATTTCTTATTTATTCCCAGTCCTCCAAAGGTTTTTTGTGTGGTTCCTTCGATTCTATGCTTGTCTTGGTGTCTTGGGGTCTTCAGTAGAGTGTCCTGGTTTTGTTGGAGTTGAGTTTCTTCTTTTTCCATGCTTTGTTTGGTGCGACTGCTATCCTGATTTACAAGACCCCTCTTTGGAGTAGAGTGTATTGATCTTGTGTGATTGTGACTCTGTTTTGCTAGTAATTGTTGTGTCATCTTCCCCTTTTCCACCTTGATTTCAGCTTGATTGTTGGTACCCTGCCCCATAGGGGAAGTAAAAGCAAAAAAGATATCTCCTTTAAAGTTTATGAGAATTCCACCAATTCCAGTTCTGCCTGGGTTCCCAAGAGAATATCTTGGGATTTTTCTCTATCTAAATCTGTAGGAATTCTAGGAGCTCTAAGATAGATTAAAGCTTCATCTGAAAGTTCCATGCTACACCAAAAGTAAAACAAAGTTGAATTGTTGCAGCTGAATTGTTGAGCTCTAAGATAGATTGAAGTAGAATTCTAGGAGCTCTAAGATTGGAGCTCTAAGTTGCTTTTGAAACTCTGTTGCAGCTGAATTCATTTTCTTGTTGAATTATTGGGCATCTGTATTGATCTTTGAATTACACATCCACTTTCATGAAATCTGAATAATGTTCTAGCTGCTGGGAGGAATCTGGAACCTGCAATCTGAAATTGTAATCTGTAATCTGCAATAATCTGAAATCTGTAATATGCAATAATACTTCGATTCTATGCTTGTCTAGGTGTTTGCAGTAGAGTGTCTTGGTGTTGTTGGAGTTGAGTTTCCTCTTTTTCCATCATCTTATATTGCGATTTATAGATGTCTTATGAACTGCAATGGTATCTACTGCTACGTCGATTTATTGGGGGATGTAGAATTTAACACTCCTTAGCTGTAAAGTGGGACACTCTTTTAGGACTCGAGTACTTGCACTGAATTATCTCAGGGTCAAGCTGTGAGATTAGTCCTAGTAAAAGTGTCTGCTGAAATAAAATGTAAATAGATTTGCATTTTCCTATGTAGTAAGATAAAGATTTCTAGTTATGAGTATTTAATCATTTGGAGGTCAATCATCAGTAATTTCAGCTCATTTGGAAAGAAATAACATAACAATTACATTTAATCTTAGACTTGGCAGCAACTTATATACACTATACCCATGAAGATACCCTTCTCACTTGTTTTAGAGAAGACTGCAATATTGCTTCCCTTTCATATTACCACTCTCTCAACTTCCACTTGCCAGTACTAGGTAACCAAATAATTTTATTATAGTGATTTATTTGTGATCGAGGTGACTTGATTGTATAAATATCTTTTACGATGTCAAGTAACTGTGCTGGTAAACTGAGTTTAAGATGTGTGTGGCACTCCACACTTTTTCCTTTAGGAAGATGGAGGGAAAAAAAAAAGCAAAAAGAAACATGAAGTTCATGTCTCTTTTTTGGGTTATAGTAACTTTATACTTTTATTATACAAGACCCTTCACTCCAACAAAACTTCTAACTTCTATAACTGCTGCAATTTGATTTGTTGTACATGGTTGTTTTGATTGTTAGTTTCTTTTTAAATGTGTAGGGAAATGGAGGTGATCAAATTTGAAGGGTCGCCACAAGTCAATTTGATCTCATTGAAGTGGAAGTGGAAGTGGATAGTGAAGATTTTTTGAACTATTGTAAAAATTTGAATACATTATATTTGATTTTGTGAAATATATTCATTGCTAGAATATATGTTGAACTATTTTGTACACATATTTAGAATATTGCTTTATAAGTATGTGTATGTACACAAGACATACTATCTTTTGAAGTTTATTGCAAATCTATATATTTGAATTACTTATTAGCTAATTTAATG